TTGTGGAGCCTGACATATACCACAACAAGACACTGGTCGTGGTGGGACCTTGCTGGTGCTGGACATTAATCACAGCAATGGTCCTGGTGGTACCTTGTTTTATGGTGTGACATTACCACAAGAGCAAATTGTCCTGAGTGGGACCTTGCTGGTGCTGACATTATCACAACAAGCACTGTCCTGGTGGGACTTGCGGTGCTGACTTTCTCACAACAAGCACTGTGTTCTAGGCGGGGAGAGACCTTGCTGTTGCTACATTATCTCAACAAGCACTGGTCCTGGTGGGACCTTGCTGGTGCTGACATTATCACAACAAGCACTGGTCCTGGTGGGACCTTGCTGGTGCTGACATTACCACAACAAGCACTGGTCCTGGTGGGACCTTGCTGTGTGTGATATATCACAACAAGCACTGGTCCTGGCGGGACCTTGCTGGTGCTGACATTATCACAACAAGCACTGGTCCTGGTAAGACCTTGCTGGTGCTGACATTATCACAACAAGCACTGGTCCTGGTGGGACCTTGCTGGTGCTGACATTACCACAACAAGCACTGGTCGTGGTGGGACCTTGCTGGTGCTGACATTATCACAACAAGCACTGGTCCTGGTGGGACCTTGCTGGTGCTGACATTACCACAACAAGCACTGGTCCTGGTGGGACCTTGCTGGTGCTGACATTATCACAACAAGCACTGGTCCTGGTGGGACCTTGCTGGTGCTGACATTACCACAACAAGCACTGGTCCTGGTGGGACCTTGCTGGTGCTGACATTATCACAACAATTCAACTGGTCATGGTTGGGACCTTGCTGGTGTGACTTTTATCACAAGAGCACTGGTCTGGTTGGGACCTTACTGGTGCTGACATTATCACAAGAAGCACTGGTCCTGGTGGGACCTTATTGGTGCTGACATTATCACAAGAAGCACTGGTCCTGGTGGGACCAGTGGAAGTGGAACAATCTGGAGAGTGGTGTAGAGCAGGCAGGATCCAAACACAGCTTTAAGAGGTACAATAGAACTCTTGGAGTAGGGAAAGAGCGGACTTAGTAGTGACCAGGGAAGAGGCGGGGCCAGGTGCAGTTTTAGGTGTAAGTATGACATGGTCTATAAGAATAGTGAGTGACTGCTATGGGTTATTGAGAGGCAGGGTCAGTAACTGAAGCTCGACCCCTGCACCCACAACTAGATAAGCACTCACGTTCACCTCTCCCCTCCCCCACAAAATTTTGCTTTTCCACGTCCTTGGTTGTAGCCAAATATTATGTTGATTGTTATTTCAGCATTGTATGTAATTTTTGAGGTCAGAATTTAAGCTCTCTCTGAGCCTAATTGGGCATTATCCCTGACTGTTGCTTGTGTGTGTGTGTGTGTGTGTGTGTGTGTGTGGGGGGGACTGCCCTTTTTTGTATACCTATTTGGGTTTGCAGGGGTCGGTTTTTAGCCCCGGGCCCCGCCTCTTCCCCGGTTGCTACGGGGCCCCCTTTCTCTCCCGCTCCATGAGCTTTATCAAACCTCGCCCTTTAAAAAACTGTGTTGGTCCTCCCTCCACTACGTCTTTTTTCTGGGCATTCCCCCCCTGACAACTCTATGACTAAAAGAAATACTTCCTAATACCTCTGACTCTTTGTTCTTCAACTTCCAATTGGGGCCCTCTTGTTTCTGTGCCCCCTCCCTGGAACATCTGCCCTTTGCCCACCTTGTTATTCCACGCGTATTTATATGTCGTTATCATGTTCCCCTGACCCTCTGCCTCCAGGGGCGTAGGCCGTTTTCCCCTTAATTTTTTTCATAGGACATTCCCCTTAGCTCGGGAAAACAACCCTTTGGGTCGCAACCTTTTACTTTCTCAGTTTTTCGTGCTTTACAAGGCGGGTTCCAAACAGGTGTGCTACTCCAGTTGGGCCGACTACACGGTTCTTTGTCTTTAAACGTTTCCCTTACTATGGAAAAGGGAAGCTGTTCTCGGGTTTCCCGGGCCCCCATATGGCAGGTTTTTTGATTGTGTTTCCCGGGGAGAAAAGCTCGGTGTTATACTCCCCCCAAGATCTTTTTTCTTGAGTGAAGTTTGCAGTCTTTGGCCACCTACCTATATCTGCTGGGGTCTTTTCTTGCCCTTCCCATCTTCATGACTTTTTCATTTGGCGGATTTAAATTTGAGAAGCCATTTGCTGGACCCGGTGTCCAGTTTTCGGTCTCTTTGAAGTCCCGCCGGTCTTCATCTGTTTTTAAATTTTCCCTCATTTTAATTCACATCATCTGAAAAAAAAAAAAAAAAAACACCACAAACCCCCCAAAAGCACTTTTGGGGGCCCCCCTTCCACCCCCCCCTCCCGGGGCCCCCTATACCCAAAATGACTTTTTGGCCCCCCTGTCGACTGTCCCAGGCCCTTTGTTATATGCCCCCCCCCACCTTTCAACTAATCTCTGTGAGGAAACTGGGGGTCAAAGGGCCCTTTTGCAGTCCAAAAAGATGCAATCAACCACCCCTCTCTCTCATGTCTTATTCTGTTATTTTATCATAAAACTCCAAAAGGTTTGTGACACGGATTTGCCTTCCATAAAATCCGTGCTGGTTGGCATTTATACTCTTGTTCCGCTCCAGGTGCTCCACCACTCTCCTCCTGATAATCTTCTCCATAACTTTGCAAAATATACACGTCAATGACACAGGTCTATGTTTAGTCCCTCTTTTTCTGTCTCCTTTTTTAAAAATGGGAATTTACATTTGCCGTCTTCCTACCTTAGGTAGTTGTCGAGTTTCCAGGGACGTGTTGAAGATTGTGGCAAGTGGCACGCACAATATATCTGCTCCCTCTCTAAGGATCCACGGGAGATGTCCGGTCCCATTGCCTTTGGGGTATCGATGTCCCTTAGCAGTTTCTTCACCTCCTCCTCATCTGTATGTATGTCGTCCAACACTTGTTGGTGTATTCCTTGCTGGTGTCCCCATCTGGTCTGTCCCCCCAGAGTTCTTCCTGTCTCTACTGTAAATACTTCCTTAAATCTCGTGTTGAGCTCCTCACATACCTCTTGATCGTTTCTTGTGAGTTCTCCACCTTCTTTCCTCAGCCTTATCACCTGGTCCTTGACTGTTGTCTTCCTCCTAATGTGGCTATACAGCAGTTTCGGGTCAGATTTGACTTTCGATGCTATGTCGTTTTCATACTGTCGCTGTGTGTAACATGCAGCAGACTTTGGTGTAATATATAAATAAAGCTGTGTGTAACGTGAAGAAGACATGTCCTGATCTGACACATAACAGAAATACGAGGTATACCTTCAAGGATTCCTAATGAAACACACAAATACAAGATATACTTCAGGAATACCTAATGAAACACAACAATTACGAGGTATACCATCAGGTATACATAACGGAACACTACACAAACACTGTTATATCAAGTTAATATAAACAGCATCAATGAAAAATCCCAATAATACTCCCCCCGAGGGTAGACAGACCTCAGGTGTCACAGAGTGAATCACTCACCCCCGGGGAAATACATTCCAGTGGTGAGAAATGGGGTAAATATGTGTAAACACTGAGTATTACATCACACCCACTCACCCATGACCACACCCATTCACCCATGGCCACACCCACTCACCCATGACCACACCCACTCACCCATGACCACACCTGTGGCATGCAGAGTACGTAACCTTTATTCGGCGCATGTACACACCCTCATTGACAGGCTATCTCCCCCAACCAGCGAACCAGGGGCTAAGGGTTGACGATGGGGCCCCGTCGCTCAATCAGTAGCCAGGTTCCAGCCAATGAGAAGATGGTTCTGGCAATCGCAGAGGTGATGTGGGTACCACTCACCCGTCTGCCCTTGTCATTCCCATTCTAGAGCTGGTTGAAGCACGGTCTGCTCTCTAGTGGCTTCTATTCTGCTTTGCTTACCGTGGAGTACACTAATACCTATTGTTGTACATAGTGTATACAGTGTACATACTTCTGTTCTAAATTGGTGAAGGATAATATAGTCAAAAGTTTTTCTGTTGTGTTTATTTTGCTCCTTTACGCCCAGGATAACAGGCCTTTGGGACTCCTGGGTTGTATTAACACCCATTCACCCATGACCACACCCACTCACCCATGACCACACCCACTCACCCATGACCACACCCACTCACCCATGACCACACCCACTCACCCATGACCACACCCACTCACCCATGACCACACCCACCACCCATGACCACACCACTCACCCATGACCAAAACCCACTCACCCATGACCACACCCACTCACCCATGACCACACCCCATTACCCATGACCACACCCACTCACCATGACCACACCACTCACCCATGACCACACCCACTCACCATGACCACACCCACTCACCAATGACCCACCCACTCACCCATGACCACACCTATTCACCCATGACCACACCCACTCACCAATGACAAACTCACCGGAAAAATGAAAAAAAAAAAACGAAATTTACATTTCATATCACACTGTTAATGTCCTCACCTTACTGGAATGTTATTATCAGGGTCGCAGCAAAGGGCTAAACCCTGAAAAAATCGAGGCAGCCTGGTTTGCTATGAGGACAAGAGCAAGACAGGTACAATACCATGGATACTGACATGAAGATATGGTAAGTAACTTTACTTAGGTACATTTACACGTAAACACAGCTACATAAATTATCATAAATGGTAACGGAAGTTTGACAGTTCGCAAACAGGCGAAATTATTTACAGAAATTCTCTCTCAGTTTACATCAGGATTCGAACCCCCACACTTTGCATCAGAGCACACAGTACTTTATCCACACAGTCAGACTCTGGCTGTGTGGATACTGTGTACTCTGATGCTGAGTGTGCAGGTTCGAATCCTGCTGTGGACTGAGAGATAATGATGGAAAAATATGTGTAAAGAAAGTTAAAGTGACTTATTTCCATTGGGGTCCTTGTAACATCTTATTATTTATAAGTTAAAACAGCTAAGTTAGTGACATCAACTGACCTGGTTGGTGACATCACCCAGGTGAGTGATTTCCTCAGTCTCCCGTCTGTTCTCAGCCACCTGGTGGGAGTTGACAATGTGTTCCTTCTTCTCCGAGACTATGACAGCGCCTCCCACTGGCACCCACTCCTCGCCAGGGGGAGCCTCAAGCTCCTTCGGCTGCCCCTCTGGCGTCAGTGTCTGTAGGTCAACAAACACGCTGGTTACATTCACCGTGAAGTGTGTGTGTGTGTGTGTGTGTGTGTGTGTGTGTGTGTGTGTGTGTGTGTGTGTGTGTGTGTGTGTGTGTGTGTGTGTGACTTGTACAGTGTTATAACACAGTACATTGTTAGTGTTGGTGAAATTCAGTCCCAATATTAAAGCAAAGTAACCTGATAAGCCTTCCTTACCTCCCTCCCTCCCTCACTTTCCCTCCCTACAGAAATACAGCTTTGTACATTCTTAGATAACCCAAGTAAATAAGATTATTTTTTATACCAGTGTTAGATTAGATTAGGTTACGTTACGTTATTATTATTATTATTATTATTATTATTATCACCATCATAACTAAGCGCTAAGTTACGTCATGTTGGTATCTTAGTTTTGGTGCAAAATAATAATACAAACAAAATAGCAATTTTATGGATATAATTCAGTGTTTTCCAGAGTGACGAAAACTCATAATTAACCAACATTGTGGGACGGAAACTCTAGACGACGTTTCGCTCCGTCATGGACCATTGTGGCTTGATAATAACCCAAGATGGACCGAAACGCCCTATAAAGTCTCCTATCCAAAAAAGTTCACTATTTGTTCATTGTCGCAGACACGGCACCGTCATTTTAAATCTTCTAGCTGACGGATTTTACACTGAGTCCAAAATGATCACATTCACAACTAATTATAAAAGCAAATCTGACAATGTTTCTACCTTTCTTAGGCAATTATCAAGTCACATTAGTCCATAATGAACGCCTGTAACTAATTTTCTTTACAGGTGTGTGCTAAGCTATAGGTCTGTCAGTGTACTGTGGTTACGTGTGTAGGAAGCCATCACAACAGTGGCTGTGATGGCTTCCTACACACGTAACCGTGGGTTTGATTCATGTGCAGTCTTAAGGGACGTCAGTGCTTGAGGCCCTTAGCTCCAGCCTTGTAGGACATCAGTGTTTAAGGTCCCTAGCTCCAATCTTGAAGGATATTAGTGTTTGAAGTCCCTAGCTTCAGTCATGAAGGCACCAGAGGGACGAAGCAGTTAGGTAGCCGCAATAGAGCAGTTACAGAACCGTAATGGAGCAGTACTGGAGGGTGACTGCGCCTCCACAAACACAAACACACACACATGTCACCACACCCTACACTGATCCACAGTAACTTCCCGCCTCCCTGGTGGGCAGGAGGTGGGCCAGAATAACCCACTACCTCAACGGAACACTCTCAAGGTGCAACATTAACAACCCACGTTCATAATAACTTCCAAGTGATTCACTTCTCTTACAGTTATACTCTCAGCCTTGAAACTTTTGTTCCAGTTATACCACCAGTCTTGAAAACACTGCTCAAATAATAACTAACTACAGGAACACTATTTTACTGTTTATTCTGAAATAACTGTATAGTTATTTTGTATAAATCTTTCATTATACCCAGGTTTGCTACAGGACTATAATGTCCCGTAGCTCAATCACTAGCGCACTCACCTCACACACTGAGGTCCGGAGATTGAATCCCCGGTACGGCTGGAAAACATTAAGACGTGTTCCCATAAGACACCTACTGTCCTTGTTCACCTATCAGTATAACATGGGTACCTGGGTGTTAGTCGACTGGTGTGGGTCGCATCCTGGGACAAAATTGACCTAATTTGCCCGAAATGCTCAGCATAACAAGGGACTTTCTATATAGTAGTATGTCAGTGATGTCAGCTAGGACTGTATACCTTGTACATGTACTTGTAGTAAATAAAGATATTATTATTATTATTATTATTATTATTATTATTATTATTATTATTATTATTATTATTATTATTATTATCAGTACCTGCCTGACCTCACCTGAGACAACACATTCTTGGTGTATTTTTCTCTGGCTTCGTATTGTGTTCTGAACAAATTTCGTTATTTCGACTTACTGACGAAGTTGTTTAGTAATATTGTTTCCCCGGGTAACATTCTTCACATCCTGATGATGGTCAATCATTGGCGAAATAAAACGACATATAAAGCACCGACAATCCCTTTCCCCATTACTCCATTAAAAAATAAACTTTCCTAAAAAAAATTTTTTTTACAGATTAACAGCTAATTTTTTCATTAATAGTGATTTAAACATTTTTATATTTGGACTAAAACTAACACAGAAATTTCACTTAACCTCCTTTAAATTAACGTAATTTTTGTTTAGCTAAATTCTGCTATGTATATCATAGGTTAATATAAATTTATTTACTAATACTTAAAAATCAATAATATATATACTTTTCCTACAGTTCAGAACGATTTTCGCTGATTTATGGTATAAAAAATTTTTCTTTCGCGTAAACAGTCCAAACTGGACGATTCTACATATTAGTCCACCAACCTGTACTCTACCATACTTGTAACCTACTTACCACAGGTAAGTAAACTACAGGTAAACCAAACCATACCCCGGCCGGGACTGAACCCGCGGTCAGAGAGTCTCAAAACGAGTCATTACGATTTCGTGAGTCATACAAGTATGTAGAGTACAGGTAGGTAGAGTACAGGTATGTAGAGTACAGGTAGGTAGAGGACAGGTAGGTAACCTAAAGGCAGACTACAGTTACAGTATATGTAAACAGACTCGAGGTAGACCACAGTTAAGTAGAGTAGAGGTAGACCATAGTAAGGTAGAGGTAGACCACAGTTTGGTAGAGTAGAGGTAGACCACAGTTAAGTAGAGTAGAGGAAGACCATAGTAAGGTAGAGGTAGACCACAGTTAGGTAGATGAATACCATAGTAGAGTAGAGGTAGACCACAGTTAGGTAGAGTAGAAATAGAACACAGTTAGGTAGAGTAGAAATAGAACACAGTTAGGTAGAGTAGAGGTAGACCACAGTTAGGTAGAGGAAGACCATAGTAAGGTAGAGGTAGACAACAGTTAGGTAGAGTAGACGAAGACCATAGTAAGGTAGAGTAGAGGTAGACCACAGTTAGGTAGAGTAGAGGTAGACCACAGTTAGGAACATTAGAGGAAGACCACAGTAAGGTAGAGTAGAGGTAGACCACAGTTAGGTAGAGTAGAGGTAGACCACAGTAAGGTAGAGTAGAGGGGAAAACCACAGTAAAGGTTTGAGTAGAGGTAGACCACAGTAAGGTAGAGTAGAGGTAGACCACAGGTAGAGTAGAGGTAGACCACAGTAAGGTAGAGTAGAGGTAGACCACAGTAAGGTAGAGTAGAGGAAGACCACAGTAAGGTAAAAGTAGAGGTAGACCACAGTAAGGTAGAGTAGAGGGAGACCACAGGGTTAGGTAGAGTAGAGGTAGACCACAGTAAGGTAGAGTAGAGGTAGACCACAGTAAGGTAGAGTAGAGGTAGACCACAGTTAGGTAGAGTAGAGGTAGACCACAGTAAGGTAGAGTAGAGGTAGACCACAGTTAGGTAGAGTAGAGGTAGACCACAGTTAGGTAGAGTAGAGGTAGACCACAGTAAGGTAGAGTAGAGGTAGACCACAGTAAGGTAGGGTTTGAGGTGGGCCCCGTAAGGAAAGTAGAGGAAGACCACAGTAAGGTAGAGTAGAGGTAGACCATAGTTAGGTAGAGTAGAGGAAGACCACAGTAAGGTAGAGTAGAGGAAGACCACAGTAAGGTAGAGTAGAGGTAGACCACAGTTAGGTAGAGTAGAGGTAGACCACAGTTAGGTAGAGAAGAGGAAGACCACAGTAAGGTAGAGTAGAGGTAGACCACAGTTAGGTAGAGTAGAGGAAGACCACAGTAAGGTAGAGTAGAGGTAGACCACAGTTAGGTAGAGTAGAGGTAGACCACAGTAAGGTAGAGTAGAGGAGTACCACAGTAAGGTAGAGTAGAGGTAGACCACAGTTAGGTAGAGTAGGGAAAGACCACAGTAAGGTAGAATAGAGGTAGACCACAGTTAGGTAGAATAGAGGTAGACCACAGTAAGGTAGAATAGAGATAGACCACAGTAAGGTAGAATAGAGGTAGACCACAGTTAGGTAGAGTAGAGGAAGACCACAGTAAGGTAGAATAGAGATAGACCACAGTAAGGTTGAATAGAGGTAGACCACAGTTAGGTAGAATAGAGGTAGACCACAGTTAGGTAGAGGTAGACCACAGTTAGGTAGAGGTAGACCACAGTTAGGTAGAGTAGAGGTAGACCACAGTTAGGTAGAGGTAGACCACAGTAAGGTAGAGTAGAGGTTAGACCACAGTTAGGTAGAGTAGAGGTAGACCACAGTTAGGTAGAGTAGAGGTAGACTACAGTTAGGTTAGGTTAGAGGTAGACCACAGTTAGGTAGAGTAGAGGTAGACCACAGTTAGGTAGAGGTAGACCACAGTTAGGTAGAGTAGAGGTAGACCACAGTTAGGTAGAGTAGAGGTAGACCACAGTTAGGTAGAGGTAGACCACAGTTAGGTAGAGAAGAGGTAGACCACAGTAAGGTAGAGAAGAGGTAGACCACAGTAACTTAGAGTAGAGGTAGACCACAGTAAGGTAGAGAAGAGGTAGACCACAGTAAGGTAGAGTAGAGGTAGACCACAGTAAGGTAGAGTAGAGGTAGACCACAGTAAGGTAGAGAAGAGGTAGACCACAGTAAGGTAGAGTAGAGGTAGACCACAGTAAGGTAGAGTAGAGGAAGACCACAGTAAGGTAGAGAAGAGGTAGACCACAGTAAGGTAGAGTAGAGGTAGACCACAGTAAGGTAGAGAAGAGGTAGACCACAGTTAGGTAGAGTAGAGGTAGACCACAGTAAGGTAGAGTAGAGGTAGACCACAGTAAGGTAGAGTAGAGGAAGACCACAGTAAGGTAGAGAAGAGGTAGACCACAGTAAGGTAGAGAAGAGGTAGACCACAGTTAGGTTAGAGTAGAGGTAGACACAGTAAGGTAGAGTAGAGGTGACCCAGTAAGGTAGAGAAGAGGTAGACCACAGTTAGGTAGAGTAGAGGTAGACCACAGTAAGGTAGAGTAGAGGTAGACCACAGTAAGGTAGAGTAGAGGAAGACCACAGTAAGTAGAGAAAAGGTAGACCCAGTAAGGTAGAGTAGAGGTAGACCACAGTAAGGGAGAGTAGAGGGAGACCAAGTAAGGTAGAGAAGAGGTAGACCACAGTTAGGTAGAGTAGAGGTAGACACAGTTAAAGGGAGAGTAGAGGAAGACCACAGTAAGGTAGAGAAGAGGTAGACCACAGTAAGGTAGAGTAGAGGTAGACCACAGTAAGGTAGAGAAGAGGTAGACCACAGTAAGGTAGAGTAGAGGTAGACCACAGTTAGGTAGAGTAGAGGTAGACCACAGGTAGAGCAGAGGAAGACTCAGCACTAGTACCCACCTCATCAGCCACCACCTCCTGGGTGACAGTATCCTCCTTACAGTCAGTTGTGATCACTGGACCACTGTCTTCCACCACCTGGCCGTCCTCTAGCACCACCTGCCGCTGCGTCCTCGTCTCGATGTTCTTCGTGGTCGTCTTCGTCACCTTCTTCCTCGTCAGCCACTCCTCTGTCAGTGACAACCACAATCTCAGTCCGGACACACACACACACACACACCTTCAATTTTATCCTTAATTTTAAACACACCTGTAGCGCTGTATAACCCTTGGGGTTTAGCGCTTCTCTTTGGTTATAATTATACGTAATAATAAACACACCTGGGGATACCTTTTTATTCTGTAGTCAAGGGTAAAGGGATCAGGTCTGATACGAGGAAAGGGAAATGGTAGCTCTAGTTCCTTGGATTAAGAGGCCTTCACTTGCATCAAGGTTAGTAAAGGCCTTGAAGGGCACTGGGTTTGAACCCTATCGGCTACAAGGTCATTAAAGATGCAAATCACCTCTTCACCACCAGTCAAGAATCCTTTAAGACTTTAAATGGAGATTAAGTTAAACTATCAGTATATATATTCTGATATATATATATATATATATATATATATATATATATATATATATTATATATATATATATATATATATATATATATACAAAGATCAGTGTTTGTGTATATTTCGCCTGCTCTCGCGAATTCCTTGCATATATACATAAATATATGTATATATATATATATATATTATATATATATATATATATATATATATATATATATATATATATATATATATATATATATATAATAAATTAGGTGATGAAAGATTGGATATCAGATTGGAGGGAGAGAGTATGGAGGAGGTGAATGTATTCAGATATTTGGGAGTGGACATGTCAGCGGATGGGTCTATGAAAGATAAGGTGAATCATAGAATTGATGAGGGGAAAAGAGTGAGTGGTGCACTTAGGAGTCTGTGGAGACAAAGAACTTTGTCCTTGGAGGCAAAGAGGGGAATGTATGAGAGTATAGTTTTACCAACGCTCTTATATGGGTGTGAAGCATGGGTGATGAATGTTGCAGCGAGGAGAAGGCTGGAGGCAGTGGAGATGTCATGTCTGAGGGCAATGTGTGGTGTGAATATAATGCAGAGAATTAGTAGTTTGGAAGTTAGGAGGAGGTGCGGGATTACCAAAACTGTTGTCCAGAGGGCTGAGGAAGGGTGTTGAGGTGGTTCGGACATGTAGAGAGAATGGAGCGAAACAAAATGACTTCAAGAGTGTATCAGTCTGTAGTGGAAGGAAGGCGGGGTAGGGGTCGGCCTAGGAAAGGTTGGAGGGAGGGGGTAAAGGAGGTTTTGTGTGCGAGGGGCTTGGACTTCCAGCAGGCATGCGTGAGTGTGTTTGATAGGAGTGAATGGAGACAAATGGTTTTTAATACTTGACGTGCTGTTGGAGTGTGAGCAAAGTAACATTTATGAAGGGGTTCAGGGAAACCGGCAGGCCGGACTTGAGTCCTGGAGATGGGAAGTTACAGTGCCTGCCCTCTGAAGGAGGGGTGTTAATGTTGCAGTTTAAAAAACTGTAGTGTAAAGCACCCTTCTGGCAAGACAGTGATGGAGTGAATGATGGTGAAAGTTTTTCTTTTTCGGGCCACCCTGCCTTGGTGGGAATCGGCCAGTGTGATTATATATATATATATATATATATACATATTCCTCCAAACAGTTCCATATCGGCAATGGGAACGTGACTCGACCCTAAGACCCTCCGTATTGCAGTGGCTCTGCGCCTTGCTGCCCCAATTCACACAGAATATATGTGTATTTGCGGCGAAGTGCAAGCAGACCAATACGGTTACATGGTCTTAATTGTTCCAAAACCAAGGGCTGGCATGCAAGACACAATGAGGTCAACAACATCATTAAGAGAACCCTTGCTACAGCTGGATGCCCTGCCGAGAGGGAGCCACGATCACTTGCAGCAAACAATACCCACAACCCAGCAAACCGCCCCGACGGGATCACCATCTATCCTTGGAAGAATGGCAAGCTCATAGCATGGGACTATACCTGTGTGTCCACACTGGCTGACACCTATATCCATCACAGTGTGGGGCGACAGGGAGAAGCTGCTGACCACAGAGAGAAGTACAAGATCAGCAAGTACAGGGACATTAGCCAACAATATCAATTTGTCCCAGTGGGATCAGAGACCTTGGGATCATGGGGAAAAAATGCCAAACGTTTCCTTAAAGAATTGGGTTCCAGACTCATCGACACCACCAGGGACCCAAGGGCAGCCACTTTCATGTTCCAGCGCCTCAGCGTCGCCATCCAGAGGGGAAATGCTTGCTGCATACTTGGCTCACGTCCAGCCTCGGAGGAGCTGGAGGAAATTCATGATCTTTGATACATTGTGCCATTGTATTCATGTTTATGTTTTTTTCTGTAAATGTATTTTGTTTATTAATAAATGTTCACATAGAATAAAAAATATATAGGGGGGGTGGGAGAAAGAAAATATTCAAACAGCTCAGGGGAGAACCTTGAGTTTTCCCTGAGGTACGTTTATTGTCTTCTCTGAGGATGAGGGTCCCCATTCCAGCTATAGAGGTGGTACTTTATATATATATATATATAATATATATATATATTATTATATATATATATATATATATATATATATATATATATATATATATATATACTGTATATACACCGAGAGATGCACAACCAGCCGTGTATATTACAATATTAAGAAGGGTGTAAGACAAGGGGACATCCTCTCACCGCTCATTTTTAAACTATATGGATAATGAGAGTGAAGAAGCAGTCTATGTGGCGGTGGTAATAAAGTCTATGTGGAAGTGGTAATAAACAGTCTGTGTGGAAGTGGTAATAAACAGTCTGTGTGGAAGTGGTAATAAACAGTCTATGTGGAAGTGGTAATAAACAGTCTGTGTGGAAGTGGTAATAAATAGTCTGTGTGGAAGTGGTAATAAACAGTCTGTGTGGAAGTGGTAATAAACAATCTGTGTGGAAGTGGTAATAAACAGTCTGTGTGGAAGCGGTAATAAACAGCCTGTGTGGAAGTGGTAATAAACAGTCTGTGTGGAAGTGGTAATAAACAGTCTGTGTGGAAGTGGTAATAAACAGTCTATGTGGAAGTGGTAATAAACAGTCTATGTGGAAGTGGTAATAAACAGTCTACTATGTGGAAGTGGTAATAAACAGTCTGCGTGGAAGTGGTAATAAACAGTCTGTGTGGAAGTGGTAATAAACAGTCTATGTGAAAGTGGTAATAAAGTCTGTGTGGAAGTGGTAATAAACAGTCTGTGTGGAAGTGGTAATAAACAGTCTATGTGGAAGTGGTAATAAACAGTCTACTATGTGGAAGTGGTAATAAACAGTCTATGTGGAAGTGGTAATAAACAGTCTATGTGGAAGTGGTAATAAACAGTCTGTGTGGAAGTGGTAATAAACAGTCTGTGTGGAAGTGGTAATAAACAGTCTGTGTGGAAGTGGTAATAAACAGTCTGTGAGGAAGTGGTAATAAACAGTCTGTGTGGAAGTGGTAATAAACAGTCTGTGTGGAAGTGGTAATAAAGTCTATGTGGAAGTGGTAATAAAGTCTATGAGGAAGTGGTAATAAACAGTCTGTGTGGAAGTGGTAATAAAGTCTATGTGGAAGTGGTAATAAACAGTCTGTGTGGAAGTGGTAATAAACAGTCTGTGTGGAAGAGGTAATAAACAGTCTGTGTGGAAGTGGTAATAAAGTCTATGTGGAAGTGGCAATAAAGTCTATGTGGAAGTGGTAATAAACAGTCTGTGTGGAAGTGGTAATAAAGTCTATGTGGAAGTGGTAATAAACAGTCTGTGTAGAAGTGGTAATAAACAGTCTGTGTGGAATTGATAATAAACAATCTGTGTGGAAGTGGTAATAAACAGTCTGTGTAGAAGTGGTAATAAACAGTCTGTGTAGAAGTGGTAATAAACAGTCTGTGTGGAATTGGTAATAAACAATCTGTGTGGAAGTGGTAATAAACAGTCTGTGTGGAAGTGGTAATAAAGTCTATGTGGAAGTGGTAATAAACAGTCTGTGTGGAAGTGGTAATAAACAGTCTGTGTGGAAGTGGTAATAAAGTCTATGTGGAAGTGGTAATAAACAGTCTGTGTGGAAGTGGTAAAAAAACAGTCATGTGGAAGTGGTAATAAAGTCTATGTGGAAGTGGTAATAAACAGTCTGTGTGGAAGTGGTAATAAAGTCTATGTGGAAGTGGTAATAAACAGTCTGTGTGGAAGTGGTAATAAAGTCTATGTGGAAATGCTAATAAACAGTCTGTGTGGAAGTGGTAATAAAGTCTATGTGGAAGTGGTAATAAACAGTCTATGTGGAAGTGGTAATAAAGTCTATGTGGAAGTGGTAATAAACAGTCTGTGTGGAAGTGGTAATAAACAGTCTGTGTGGAAGTGGTAATAAAGTCTATGTGGAAGTGTAATAACAGTCCTGTGTGGAAGTGGTAATAAAGTCCCATGTGGAAGTGGTGATAAACAGTCTATGTGAAGTGGTAATAAAGTCTATGTGGAAGTGTAATAAACAGTCTATTGGGAAGTGGTATTAAACAGTCTAGTGGAAGTGGTAATAAAGTCTATGTGGAAGTGGTAATAAACATCTGTGTGGAAGTGTAATAAAGTTATGTGGGAAATGGTAATAAACAGTCTATGTGGAAGTGGAATAAAGTCTATGTGGAAGTGGGTAATAACAGTTATGGAAAAAGTGGTAAAAACAGTCTATGTGGAAGTGGTAATAACAGTCTATGTGGAAGTGGTAATAAACAGTCTGTGTGGAAGTGGTAATAAACAGTCTATGTGGAAGTGGTAATAAACAGTCAGTGTGGAAGTGGTAATAAACAGTCTATGTGGAAGTGTAATAAACAGTCTGTGTGGAAGTGGTAATAACAGTCTATGTGGAAGTGGTAATAAAGTCTGTGTGGAAGTGGTAATAAACAGTCTGTGTGGAAGTGGTAATAAACAGTCTGTGTGGAGGAGTGGTAATAAACAGTCTGTGTGGAAGTGGTAAATAAACAGTCTGTGTGGAAGTGGTAATAAACAGTCTGTGTGGAAGTGGTAATAAACAGGGGGTTTGTGTGTGGAATTGGTAATAAAGTCTGTG